TTTTTTTTTTTTTTTTGCTCTTCACTTCCAAACGTATATTTATTTATTCATGAATACGGTGCTGGAAAGAGATAGTAACAGCCAAATATAGGAGCCAGGGCTATACAGTGAGACCCTTGTCTTTTTTTTTTTTTTTTTTTTATCAGGACAAGGCTTTCTGTGCGGCCCTGGCAGTCCTGGAACTCTGCAGACAAGGCTGGCCTCAAACTCAGAAATCTGCCTGCTTCTGCCTTGCTAGTGCTGGGATTAAAGATGCATGCTTGCTTGCCCGGCTGAGACCCTTGTCCTAAAAAAAACCAAACAACACACAAAAGAGGTAGTTACTTTGGAGGGCCAGGATTGAGAGAGTCAAGTGCTCACACAAATGACCGGTGTGGGCAGCACAGTTCCGTGTTCTTTCTTATCTGCATTAATCTAAGGCAGATTCCTTCCCAGCCTTCCTAGACACAGAGGGCAGAGACTATGCCAAGCCTCCAGCTTCTGCTGCCCTCTGATCAGTGAGCTGGGTGCTAAGGGTGCAGGTTTTTTTGTTTTGTTTTGTTTTGTTTTTTTTGGATTTTTCGAGACAGGGTTTCTCCGTAGCTTTTGGTTCCTGTCCTGGCACTAGCTCTTGTAGACCAGGCTGGCCTCGAACTTGCAGAGATCCTCTTGCCTCTGCCTCCCGAGTTCTGGGATTAAAGGCGTGCGCCACCACCACCCTGCTAGGGTACAGTTTTTTACAGATTAGGAAACTGACTCTCCTCCCTGCACGAGACAGCCATAGGTTTGGCTTTTGGTTTCTCTCGGGCGGGGGTTCCCATTGCTCCCCACTGCCTCCCTGCCTCCACCTTCCCTCCCTCTTCCTCTCCATGAAATCTACAGATGTGTCATTGAGTAAAGAGTGTTCAGAAACATTGCTCTGGGCAGTCTCCAGGGCCCAGCAGTTAGCTCCTTGCACACCCCGTCCCCGATTCACATACACCCGCAGGCCTCTGCCATTTGTCCTGTGGCCTGTTCCCTCCCATCTCTACTCCATCCCATCTCTACTCCATCCCAGTAGTACCCTAGGACCTCAGCTTCCAAGACCTCCTCAGAACATTATTTCACAAGGACACTTTCCAACCTTGAAAAACGAGGTACCTGGAGGCAAGGAAATAACGCTCTTTCAGGTTGAGCAGCGTGAGAGCGCAGCGCCATCTAGTGGTACCGCAGCTGACTACTCCCGGGCGGTGACATTTTCAGACAATCAATATCTCATTATTAACCATAATCACAACCTGATGTTTACTTTTGGAGATGTGTTCTGGCAAGGGACGCACGTGCACTTTTCTGCCTGATTCCGAGGCCTGCGATCCTAAATGCCACAATGACTATTAAACAGTGTCCTGCCAGTAAGCAAACAGGAGGGAGCCGAGATTGACGGTCTCTTTTTCATCTAAGCTGCTCACCAAAAACAAAGCATCCGTTGAAGCCAGTGACCTTTCACTAACTGCTGGAAGGCAAATGCTTGATAAATAATAAATGGACCCCTACTCGATGTTGCTTGGAACCATCTTTTAATTAAAAGAACCGAGCAGTGAGAAGGTCAGGTGACTGATGTTTAAGTTAGAGTCCCGGAGAAGCGTCAATCAAGGGTAAAATTAAGCTTGAAATGCAATGTGATTGTCAGCTTAGCAATTCAACAACAACAACAAAAACTCCCGATTCAATCCCCCGGTGGGAGGAAGCAATGGTAGCTGACGGTGGCGTGTTTCGGGGACATGACACTTTATTCTCTGCCTCCTGTACCCTCCCCTAGCAACCTTCTCACCAGGCCTCAGCAATAGCCACTCTCCGGGCATACAGTCTCCACAGAAACTGCCTTGGAGCTGGACTCATCCAATCAGGGGCCAGCATGCCACACTGAGTACTACCCTAGGAGTGACATGGAAGCCATTTCTTGTTTTTTTTTCCACGTCCTCTGCCAGCCAAGGTGACCTCCACCAAGTGGCTCATGGAAACGCCCTGGCAGCCCACAGCTCACCCAGCCTCTGGAATAGACCTCCCGAGAAGAGGGCAGGGAGAAACGAAAGCTCCCACTTCCTGCCCCGCCCTCACTCCGCCACCTCCCACTTCCCTGCCCGCCCTCACTCCGCCACCTCCCACTTCCCTGCCCGCCCTCACTCTGCCACCTCCCACTTCCCTGCCCGCCCTCACTCCACCACCTCCCACTTCCCTGCCTGCCCTCACTCTGCCACCTCCCGCTGTCAGGGTCGTGTTGTGTCAGATGCCCTCACTCCAAGACAGCCTCTGGAAAACTGCCAGCCCAATCCAGTTTCCTGTTAGGCTCGGTCACAGCCAGCTCTGAAGAGAATGGACGAGGTCCAGGGACTCCAAGCAGGCCACATCTGGATCCTCTGGAGCTAGGCGGGTATTGGTTGAAACTCAGGGAAAACTTTATCAACCTACTTTAATGGCTGAAACTTGTGGCAATCCTCCTGCCTCAGACTCCTAAGGGATGGGATTAGATATGCACTGCCACACCTGGCTTCAATTTCATGCATGTTATGTGTGCTCACGTGTGTATACAGACACATGTAGAGGTGAGGACTCTCACTGACGTGGCTATCTCCTCAGCCGCTGACTGCACTTTGATTGCCTTTCTCCTTCCTCCCCTGAACTGAGAACACCTCCTGTGTTGTCCCCTGCCCCTGCCAGCGCCGCCCCACTGCCCCCACCGGTAGCTCATTCATTCTCCAAGCTCCGAACCTTATTCCTTTATTAAAGACTTTGTCCGTTTCCTAAATATCCAGGCCTTCCATCCCTGCCACCTGGGCACTGAGCCATCACCTCCACCCAAGCAGAATTAAAGCCCTATTCCCTGAGCGTGCCGATTCCTTCCCCATTGGCCCCCTCCTCATAACACCGCCCGTCTCCTGGTCACTCGGGTTTGTAATTGGGACGAGCCACCTCCTCTCTCCCCTCTCCCCTCCCAAGTCCTGAGCAAGTCTTCTGTTACCTGGTGCTGCTTTCACCACACAGCTTCCCCGCTTGCTTTCCTACCCATCTGAGCCCCTCCGTGTCGCTGCCAAGGCCATCGCGGTCCGATCCACACCCGTGAGGAAACCAGTAAGCTGTGCGTTCGCCATCTCAATTCACCTCACGGCGCGAGCCGCAAGTCCAGGCACAGCTTGCCCTTATCTTGTCAGCTGGTGACTGTGATGGGCACAAGGTGACACCAGGACAAACGGACATCCAGAAGGACCCGGCTCTTCAGGCTTGTCTTCTGCAAAGTTCACTGGAGCCTGGCCGCCTGCTTCCGGCTTCAGCTCCCCAGCTGCTCCAGCTCTTGGGAGGGCCTGCTCCTGAAGCTGTTCAATGCTTCAGCGCTCACAAAGTGAAAATGTCTGTCCTTGTTTGCGCTTAATAGGAAGGAAATGCTTGGAGCAGAATGCAGGCCACGGGAAGTTCGGTGCGAGTACAGGGGGCAGACTGGGCAGACAAACCATACTGAAGGTCTGAGTGCCGGCCCTTTGGGGGTTCAGCAGGGAGTTGATGCTCAACCTGAACCACAAAATTCCCAAACCGAGCCACCATTTGAAATAGAAATAATTTCTAAATGGGGGGACGGGGTCCAGCACAGTGCACAGAACTTTCCAGGTTCCCCCAAGCAGTATTCCAAGACTAATCCCCCGCCCCCAACCTCTACCAAGCTTCCTTCTGTGTGACTATGGCTGTACATGCACATGTGGGAACCAGGCCAACCTCAGCTGTATTCCCCAGGTGCCACCCACCCTGTCTTTGAGTCATAGCTGTAATTTGGCCTGGAGCTCACCAGAGGCTAGCTGGCTGGGTCCTGGGACCCACTGACCATTGGGATTATGTGTGTGGGCTGGCTTCTACTTTTCACGTGGATGCTGGGAATCAAACTCAAGTCCTCTGACTGAGCCTCTCCCTGGAGCCTCTACCACAGGTTTCTACGGCCGTTCAAAAGCCTATCCTCGTCGCTGCTTCTTCTCAGTCTCATTGTAGACTCTCCTGAGGCAAGAAGGGAGCAGCCGGAGAGAGGCTTCTGCACAAACCGGGACTTGGGTCCCTAACCTCACAAGTCCCTGTGGAAGCAGCTCTCCCCCCATTTCAGAGCTATCCTGAGTCCCTTCCCTTCCACAGGCTGACTCAATTTCAGAACACATGGAGAAAAGCATTCTCACACACTGATGGAGAAGCAGAATTCAAACAATAAAAACCCAGAAATGTAATGACTGGAGGAGGTGCTGAGCCAGCTCCTGGGCTGCCCTCCTGAGAACAAGGCCTGCGGCACCGCTGTCAGCTGCTGTCCCCAATCTTTCCAAGTATTTGGGATCCAATCATGTCTAATATCTTCAAAAGGATGGGATTTGCTTCTCCACCTGAGTCGTGAGGAATGGTAAGGCAGGAGCAACGCTGAAAGCAGTGGAGGCTAGGGCCTTAATGGCCTTCACGGAGCTCTCACGTGCAATGAGGTGGAAGGCTAAGACACGGGTGTTGTTCTTTCATCCAGACAGGGAAGGCCTGCACTCAGAGAACTGTGTGAGAAAACCACAGAGACTGAAGATAAGAACACCTGAAGCTGCTTTTGACTACAGATGAGAACTACTACCCACAAATACAGGAGCTGCATCACAACGGTCATCTCGTTCACTAGTAAAATCCAGTATGATGGAGCAGACTGGGGAGGCAGGGTGCTCATGGAGAAGGCCATCAGTTGCCCCAAGCCTTGCCATCTTGGAAATCCAGGTACTAATAAAAACAAAAGTCTTGAGTAAGGTGTGATCATTTATTCATTCAACAAACATTTCCTAATGTTGCAGCCTGTGAGCTGCAAGCCCATGCTAATCACCTCCAATACACTTAACAATGACATTCGAGTGTGGCTTTGGTCTTCGTTCGCATCAGACAGGTCCTCAGTCTTACTGCAGCTGGCTGGGCCTGTCAAGCTGCAGTCAATAGCTCTATAGAGAAAGTACAAACACCACCTGCAGATGGAAACACTTGGCCAAGGGACCGCACCATGTGGGCGAGTAGAATTCTGCAGGAGGGATCCAGACAAGAAAATGGCGAGGTTCAGATGCAGCAGTCCACAGCCAGCATGGGGCACCTTTAAAGGCTTCCTGGTGCTATTCACTTTGAAAGCATTAGAAAACTCTTATCTAACCATACCGTGAAATAGAAGTCCACAAAACTGGAGCTTTCAAAGCACGAGACTGAGATTCATGACAACCCAGAAAGAGCAACTGTGTGAAGGCCTGGGATGGAGACCAACAGAACCTAAGCAGCTCAGTGAGCAGTGTCCCAGGTGGTGGGCAGGCTCAGTGCACAGAAGGCCTCAGGGAGGGGAGACAGCCGTCCTCGGCTCCTGCTGCTCCAGGGCGTCTTCCTGAGGCTGGTTTCCTTCCAATAGGGCACGGGGTCTTGCCCGGACCTGTAGGGTTTGAGGGTATGTGACTACTTCCAAGAAACAAGCATGTCTCTCAGATGCTGCCTGTGTACATAGCTGGCTGCAGCTGTGTGACTAGGCATACATACTCTGGCATTAGGGAAACATTTAACAACGACATCTCACATCAAATTCTCTTATGACAAGCAGCAAGTGCACAACAATTTCTCTAGAACCACATTCTAAGAACCCAACAGCTATAAACAACACAGAGTCCCACACATTCAATACAACAGTATCTGACCTGGGGTTAAAGGTTTCAGGAAGCAAACCACCCCTTTTACTGAGAGACAACACCAACTGAAATTACTTTGTGTGTGTGTCCCACAAATACACAACTGAGCACATGTGCTCCTGCTGAGCTCCACCCCCGGCCCAACGCCAGCTTTGACAATTAGGAACTCACCACCCTTGCTTCTCCTACTCGTCTTAAAATGACACCTTCTGCCAGCAAAGCCTTCCCCGTCTCCACAAACAACTTTTCTTCATCTGTCTCTCCGAGATCCTGCAGTTCCATGTACTTCTCCACAAACCTGCAATTTCCAGGCGCATGTTGGGGCTGTGGTGATATCTGCCACACAATAGCAAGCAAGCCCCAGAGAGCTGCCTAGAGAAGCACCCTTCACACACTCCTCAAAAATGACAGCTTCGCCAGGCAGTGGTGGCTCACGCCTTTAATCCCACACTGGGGAGGCAGGGGCAGGCGGATCTCTGTGAGTTCAAGGCCAGTCTGGTCTACAGAGGAGCTCCAGGGCAGCCAGGGCACAGAGAAACCTCGTCTCAAGTCTGCCACCCGCCCCACAAACCAGATGAACCCTCAGGGGAGCTTGATTTACTCAGGCCGGGGAAATACTTACCGTTGACAGGTAGATTTGAAGTTTGGGTTGAACAGATCAAAAGCTTTGTGACCAGATCCATAGGCAGAAAAGAATTTCCTAGAAAACACAGAAACAATATGAATCTCCAATTAAAGGCTATGGGGAACGGGCCAGAAGGACCGCAGAATAACTGCTAGACCCTGAGAAGATACAGAGCCTAAACCAAAGAACAAGGCATGCATCAAGTGAGTCAAAGGAATCTCAGTGAGAACGATCACTCCCTCTCCCATCTGCCCCAACTTCCCTGCTCTCCTCTCAGGGAGCAGGCTTCTCATGTGTCGCCACGTTCAGAAAAGCCCACCACAGATAACACTACAGATGCTTTATTCCGTGTGTGTGTGTCTGTCTGTCTGTCTGTCTGTCTGTCTGTGCATGTCTGTGCCACGTGTATGCTGAGTGTTCGGGTGCACACGGAGGACAGAGCAGGACATCAAGTGTCTTCCTCCACCAGTCTCCACTCCAGTGCTTTGAGACCAGGTCTCTCCCTGGCCTGCGAGCTCACCACTTTGGCTAGGGTGGCAGGCCAACAAGCTGTCAAGATCTGCCCCCTAAGGCTGAGGTTATAGGCACACATAGCCAGGACCTGCTTCTCACAAAGGTGTTGAAGACTCACACTGGAGTCTTCATGCTTCCACAGCAAGTGCTCTTACACAATGAGCTTTCTTCAAGTCCCCAGCCACATTCTTAACCCAAAGAAGGGGTACCTATCTTCCTTATTTTTAATTGGGGAAGCATCTGTGTATCAAAAATTAATCCTTGCTGGGCCTTTGAGGTGACTCAGAAGGTAAAGGCACTTGCCGCCAAACCTAACAACCTGAGTTTGATCCCTAGAACCCACATGGCGGAAGGACAGGGCTCCTGTCAAGTTGTGCTCTGACTTCTACATGCATGCTGTAGAATGTACTCAATAAAATACATTAAAAACTGCAAAATCCCTAAGTGTACCAGTGACAGTGCGATCAGTCAACGACTATCACCACGACGGTCCCAGAACATTTTAAAATTACGTCTTAGTGAGTGTAGGTGGTGCCTGTCAGAGCACACGAGCGGAGGTCAAAGGACAACTTCAGGGATTTTCTCCTTCTGCCACGTGGCTCTGGGGCTTGAACTCAGGTCATCAGGCCTGGCAGCAAGTGCCTGTATCCATGAGTCCCCTTGCTGGCCCTCCAGAACATTCTGCTCAGCCCCCACAGAGGCCCAGGATCATGAAGCACTCACACCTCTCACCCTATAGCTTGTGTTTTTAGAGACTATCTCAAATCAGCGCAGAGACTCTTTCTAGTCCTTCACACCAAGACTGTTGCAGAACACCTGCGCTGCCTGGCGCAGTGTACCAGTCAGTCCATGGGATAAATCCATAAAAGTGGGGGTGCAAGGTCAAGCTATTGCTATTTATATGTTAAAACAAACAAACCAAAACCAACCTTCCAAACTGCCCAAGTGCTTCTCCAAGCAGCTGTGCCAAATTTATACTCAGGCAAATTCTATAATACACAAGTGCCTGTTTTCCTGTTTCATGACCCTTGCCAAATAGATAAACTGGAAATTATAATTACAGTTTCAGCACCACCAACCATCCCCCCCAAAAGAAACAGAATGCCATTAGACATCTTTTTAAGCCTGACAGCAAACTGGATTCCTTTCCTGTAGACCATTCACGCTCTTTGTCCATTTTCCCAGGTAGTGCTTGCTATGAATTAAGAATTCCTCCGTTGAAAGCCCAAGGTGCAAAAAAGTAAAGCTGGGAACTCTGAGAGTTCATCAGGTCACAAGTACAGCCCTTAAATAAAACAGTATTGGTGTCCTGAGGGAAAGACAGAAGGCATGCTTCCTTTCTGTTCTCTCCCAAGTAAGGACACAGCAAGAAGACAGCACTCTCAGAGGTGGGAGATATCTCTAAGTCCAAAGCCAGCTTCATCTACCCAGCAAGTCCCACCCACTCTGGAATCAGAGTGAGTCTCTAAACCAAACAACCAAATGGATCCGTGGTGGCTCAAGGGCTAAGTGCTTGCCCAGTATGTACGGGAATCTGAGTTCACCTCCTAGGACAGTAAAGCACAAAGAGGCCACAATAAGTGAAGCAAAAAGTCGCCTGACAAATACGTGCCAGGTGCTGGGATTATACACCCATGCCCTTAGGCTGTGACATCTGAATTGCTCTTTATTATTTAAAAGAAAAAGATGTTTAAGGACATTAGAAGAGCATTTTCCAACACTATTTAGGTTAGAAGGAGTGGAAAGCAAAGTAAAGGACACATATTTTCATGTGTCAACAACACCTGATTAGGACTTTAAAGGTAACTCAGAAAATAGGGCTGGCCTGGGACCGGCAAGACGGCTCAGTGAGTAAGAAGGGTTTGCCCGATGACAAGAATTCGATCCTTGGAACTCACACAGTAAAAGGAGAAAACCAACCACCACAAGTTGTCCAGACCCTACATGTATGCTCACAAACATGTGCACAAGTGCACACACACTAAATAGACATATAAATGTAGTGAAATATATATATACCAGTAACAATAACAACAACAAAAAACCTCAGATGTGGTATCCTATAGTTGGGATCCCAGAAGTCAGGAGGTAGAAGCAGAAAGACTCCAAGTTCAACATCATCCTGGGTTTAAAATAAACATTAAGATAGTTGAATTTACAGAAAAAGACCTTCCCAAACACTCTAACCATAAAGGTAAACAGGTCAACACAAACAAAACTGGTAGATGTGACTATATTTTATATCCTAGTGCCTAACACATGTAGAACAAGGTTTGACAGAGAAAAAACGGAAAACTTGTAAAATGAAATAAACAACTTCTATACACTAAGAAAGGCATTGTGGTGCTAGAGATGGCTCAATAGTTAAGAGCACTGAACACACATGGTACTCAGATAAACATTCAGGCAAAACTTCCATTCACATAAAATTAAAAAAAAAATCTTTATTTAAAACAAACAAACAAAACCTCTGGCCTCCAGGGGGCACCTGCACTCACAGACCTGTAGCTAAAAATAAAAATAAATCTTAAAAGCAAAAAAATATCCGGAGGCAAAGGCAGTTGGATCTCTGAGTTCAAGGCCAGCCTGATCTATGAAGCAAGTTCCAAGACAGCCAGGGCTACACAGAGAAACCCTGTCTCGAAAAACTGAAGGAAAAAAAAAAATGTAAAGAGCATCTCCCCTCACCTTCACAGCTCTGATACACTCGTGTCCCGTCTCACGGTGTGAACAGGATGCCGGGGACAGTGCTTCCAACGTGACAAACCTAAGTTCCAGGAGCTGCCTTCAAACCACTACCTCAAAAGACAGGGTGATGGGGGATCTTTCTTCTTTGTGCTTCCCCTTTGTTTCTCAGTTTTATATGATGAATATGTATTAATACACCAGACATGGCGATACATGCCTATAATACATATATAATACATGCAGAGGCCGGAAGATCCCGTTTCAAGAGAGAAAAAAAGAAGAAATAGATGCTAAAGAAATAAAGTACCCAAGCACTTTCTTCAAATTTCTGGGGATGATTACTTTAAGTGCTTTGCAGTCCTAAGCACCTTTCCTGTGTGGCTTCAGTGATTGCTAGATGTTAAATCTACAGACCATATTCTCTGATTTCCACTTCCAAAGAAGCAGATGTGGTGGCCAACTGAAGCCTGGCGTCAGATGTTATTTCCCAGCTCTGCCACCCTCCTGTGCAGCCACAGGCAGTTAACCCTTGGGCCTCACAGTGCTCTTGAATAAAACAGAGGAATGAGAACCGCCTGTCGACAGGGTTAAAGTCTATGAGCTGATGTCTGTGAAGGGTGTATCATGGTACCTCACAA